CGGGCGAAACGACGAATCCGCCGTCGCCAGCGTGGGGGGGAAGGGTTTGCGAGAAGGCTGGCGAGGAAGGGCGTTGGCGTCGCGCGCCGCGAGGATGCCGATCTCCGCGGGTTGGGAGTCGAGGCGAATCGCGTGGCGGGCATGGATCTGCGAGAGGCTCTGCGAGGCCTCGTCGTCCATGTGGAAGGAGCCCGTGCGGCTGCGGTGCGCGCTCATCGAATTGAAGGAGTTTCCCGTTCACAACGTTAGGGATTCCTACGGGAGGTCGACAAAGGGATCGTGGTCGTTTCGTGAAAGGAAACAAGGACGAGAAGATGATCGAGAAGCCGAACTTAGCTCTACAGGCTTCCCCTAAAAAGACGCAATATGATAATAATAATACTAATAATAATAATAATAATAAGCTCTTTTGCGTGTGTTATATAGTGATCCCCGCAGTGAGCTGGAAGCGATCCCTTAAGGGAAACCCAACCTATGTCTAATCGGTGTAGGATGGTTAGATAAGAAAATGGAAGTAACCCTAGGAAAAGAAAGGGAAAGGGAGAAAACGCGGTTTATTGCGTGGTAGGTGAAAAAAAGAAAGAGACAGCGGAAGACATCATAGTAGGGACCCTCCCCTGTATTATAATGCCTAGAAGAAAATTAACAATTCCTCAACGTGTATACGGAACTGAGGTATGAATTCAGTATATATTTATACCATTACATGCTTGGTTTGTGAACTTGTTTGCGTTTGCTTACACGTTCATATACATCACAATATAAAATATTTTGAATATGAAATAGATAGTTAACAAGAATGAATTAACGGGGCTACACAGCATACATTAACAAAAGTGTGCACAGCGCTAAAGATTGAATCCAAAAGAGGCCAAGCGAGTTCCTATCGAATCATACACATTATAGAGAAAAAAGAACGAACTCCTCCCTCTCCCTCCCATGCAGGCTAAACGATCTCCGCGCTCGTAAGTAAGACGGGAGCCGCCACCACCGTTCGGGAACAATCAAAAATAATAAAAAAGAAGCCCCAGCTATTTCAAAAAGAATGAAATGAAGCGGTCCAAGAAAATACAATTGGCTACCAAACATCCGTCTCACCCGCCTTTAGGTCTTGCAAAATGGTTGATGTCTCTGACGGGTTTGCCTACGCCTAAAAAGCATAGGAGGAGCTGAAACGGACGACCCTAATCCTCCTCTCGTTTCCTCCAACTCCCCCCCCATCGCATGTTGGAGTCTTTCTTCTTCCCGCTCAACGGCGTCGACGCGTGGGTGCGGCGCCAGTGCAACATCCGACGAAGCATCGGCAACGAAGTCGTCGTCTGCCGCACATCCAGGAAGTAATACGGCTTGATAATACTCAACCCATTGGTAGGAGGAGAGGAGGACGACGGCTTCCGCGAAAGAGACCTTCGCCGCTGCTCCCGCATCGATCGCGTGCGTTTTCGCAGCAACGCCATCAACCCACGGGGCTGATAGCGTTGATTAAAGCCTTCAAGATGCACCACCTGACGGCCGAGGCGCGCTAAATCGCGAACCGCCGGATTCGCATTGGGGGAGGTCGTCAACGGGGCATCCTTCCCCGACTCCGGTGAGGCCTTTAGACCACACCCTTTGGCGAGTAAATCCTGACTATTCGCCGGATCCGCCCTCTTGGCGGGCAAATTCGCAGGGTACCCCTGCGGGATATACCCCGCCAGTTCCCCAAGCCGAGACGCCAAATGAACCTTTGAGGAGCATAGCGTTCGCGCGGGTTTGCGGATTCCGCGCCGGGGATTTCCCTTCTCCGCCGCCGCGACCGCACGGCTCGACAGCGACGTCGCCGGATCCCGCGGGAAGTTGTTCTTGATTTCGATTTGAAGCTCGGTGAAGCGTTTGAAGGTGGGGAAGAACATAAAAGGCGGGGAGGCTCGAATCGGGAGAGGAGGAGGAGGGGGAATGATCGCGGCGCCCTCCCGCCCTTCGGCTTCTTCGACGACGCGGGTGGGGGTGAAGCTCAGGTGAGGGGTGGAGGGTGCGAGGGCATCCGGCCTGGAAAGGCGTTTTTGAGGCGGCAAATTCGTCAGCGAGGAGGGCAGGAGCTGAGGGGGCTCCTCCCGGCCAAGGGAGGTGTGGCCTGGCGATATCGACGAGGTCGATTGCACCAAATGCGAAACCGAAAGCGAGCGAATGATCAGCCCCTCGTGGGTGGGGCCCTCGGGCGAGTGGATCGTGTGCGTTGGATCTGGGGCGATAAACAAGGATTTCAGCAGATCCGGAGGTGAAATACGTCGGTTATGAGATGACTCCGCCGAAGCCGAGGGTTCTCGTGAGGATGGGGGGCATACATTCGAACGGCTCGGGGGTGGGGGGGCGCGGGGATGGGGATGGGGAACCGTATAACCCATCGGGTGCCCCCCTCCTCCTCCTCCCACCCGCGCTCTCTCATCCAAAAGAGGTGGAGAAACCCGCGCGAGGTCGTGCGCCACCACCCGCGAGCCAACCACGACGACGTTCGAGAAGCTCGACGGACCATTCGCGGCCGGGGTGGGGAGCCCCCCCCCTCCCCGCCGCATCCCGGGAAAGCTCGGCGGCCCCGAGGGATCCTCCAGGACGCCGAAATAATACCGATGGCTCGTGGAGGAGCTGGTGGGGGTCCGCGCTTGGGGGGCCCGCCCCGACGGCAAGTGCGACCCCGCGCTGCCCTGAAGTCGCGACGCGCGATGGGGGGGAAACCCGGCGATCGCCTTTTGCGGGGCCGTCAGCGACGACGTCGGTTTCGTCAGATGCGGCCGTGGCCGATTCGCTTTCTGCGCGGCCGCGGCCGGCGTGATCGTCCGCGACATCGGCCGTCGGGCGGATTCCTCGCTCGGAGGAGGGGGGGGGCGGGAGGGGCTTCCCCCCGTGCGCTAACGGCGGCCGCGCGCGTGTTTCTGGCGGTTTCCCCTCGCCCATCGAATCCCCGGCATCCGGGAGGGGCGTCCGCCCTCCTCCGCCTCCCCCTCCCCCCTCCTCCGAGGACGACGAGGGCCTCCGCGTTGGTCGGTTTCG